TGTCGAGCCCTGCATGCTCTAATAAGTGCCCTTTTCCGAATAAGTGCCCACCCCCCCTCCTTTGCTACCTTTAAACGAGGGGACACAAGAAAAACCTGTTTTTAATGCTACTTGAATCAGCACAGGTTGATAATTTCTTAGTAAGTGGCCTGGCTCGATTAAATGCCAATCCTTCCAATAAGTGCCCCTCCTCTTAGTTGAAATTTGAAACAAGTCCCCAGGCATTTATTCAAAGTTTAGTTTAAGTTTAAGTTTAATTCATTCGCCACAGGAATGGCAGGAGAAAGGAACAGAACTTTCGTTCCAATTGACACCTAACCCCTTTTTTACCCACCCATCCCACCCCGGGGAGGACATCCATCACACAGTAATCTCGTGTGTGGGAAATTAACGTCTCCTACCCCAACCCTGCAGGAGACGGGACCTCCATTTATCGTCCCTATCCGAGAAGGCTAGAAAGTCTAACCATTTGCAGATATTATTACAAAGGCAGCACTTTCTTCTCAGTTAATTTAAAACCCTGAGTGTCGGTCCGGCCGGATTTGAACTCACGACCTCCCGCACAACAGTCCGGGTGATTTTGAAAAAAAATTTCCTGCAAGCGCTTGTTGGAAGAAGAAAAAAATTGCATGCAACCCAAATGTAACAGAAAAATGTATCAAAAAATCGGAAAAAAATATCCTGCACAGCAGATTGCTAGAAAAAAAAATTCTTGATGACCAGAAATCACCCACCCCCCCTCAAAAGTTAAATGGTCGGCCCCTTAATGCCTATAGTCTCGAGAAGATAAAGAATAGAGTACGGGGATCTGTCGCTCTGGCGGCAGATTTTGGATCGTGAGATGTTGGCGTTGATGTTATTTCAGAAACGCATCTTTGAAGACAGAAACCTGACAGTACTGTTGCTATCCAAGGGTATACAATATATAGAAGGGACAGAGACTGGGCCGTAACTGATAAGCGAAAGAAAGATGGAGTTGCAGTATATGTGCGGGAAAACTTAATTCAAGGTTTTGAATGTTAATCGTGAACGCTCTTTTGATATGCTGAGTGTGGAATTAGTGCTTCCGTCAGGACATCATATGCTGATCACTGGATTATATCATCCCCCAAGTTTTCAGTATGATGAAGGCGATCTTATTGATACCATCATCGATCTTTGCGATACATTCTTAGACATGCATCCAAATGGGGTAGTACTCTGTGGAGATGATCTGAACCGGCTAGATCTGGACTGTCTTTCCACTTCATCTGGACTAGTGCCTATGGTGAATTTCGCCACTAGAGGGTCTTCCATCTTGGATAACTGCCTCACAAACCACGTTGAGCTGTTCAACGACCCTTTACGCTTTCAAGTGCTGGTAAAGACTGACTACAAGGGCGTGATACTTCCTCCGGGGAATAAAATTAAACCAATTCGATCTAAATGTTGTTTTAGGGATTTTAGAGAGCATCACAAGATTAAAAATACCTCAGAGTTAGAATTTTTCGGTTGAACACCTGTGATCAATGCTCCAGATATTGAAATAGTAACTAGCATTTTAAACAGGGAACTGCACAATCTTATGGATAAGTGTTTCCCGGTGAGGAGAGTTGTGATGTCTTCACGTGACCCCCACTGGATTACTCCACTAATTAAATACCTTGTAAAGAAAAAGAAACGAGCTGCTGATAAGCCCCACGTTCACAAAGTGGAGGACTTGTCATCGAAGGTCTACAAGTTGATTGGTGAAAATCGAAAAAACTGGGCCAGGAATGGAGTTTGCACTGGTGGAGGAGAGTGGAAAAAATCACCCTGAGGAAAGAAAAACCTCAGCAATATTTAGAAAAGGAATTTCTTGCTGGTCTCAATGATTATTTTGGGGACTTTTGTAACGACAATAACTTTGTTAAACCAGTACCTCTCAGGGTAAATCCCGAGACACACCCACCCTCAAAGCTCCAGGAATTTGATGTGATGATAAAGGTAAAGGTAAAGGTCAAGGTCAAGTTCTGTATTTCTCTAAACAACATACGTGTTTAGTTACAATTTAATGGTTGAAATCAGACAGGCGCCTCTGGCAGCCGTGTTTAGTCCGTAGCGATTTCACCTACCCACCCAACCCACCCCAGGGAGGACATCCATCACACAGTAATCTCGTGCGTGGGAAATTAACGTCTCCTACCCCAACCCTGCAGGAGACGGGACCTCCATTTATTCGTCCCTATCCGAGAAGACTAGAATATCTAACCATTTCTTGATGTTAAAGAAAGGAAGCATATTCTTCTCA